CCATTCTTCTAATGAAGCACCCAAACAAGAAGTCCCAATTATTCCATGCCACCCAAAACACACAAACTTTAGCGCTTTCCCTTGGTTTCAAATATTTATGATGTTTTAAAAAGATAAATATACTTTAAGAGTATATATTAATTCATTTTAGGAAATTACACATGAACTGGGCTTAATTTTTAGTTATAGACATATTCTGAAATTATTATGTATTACATATTCTGAAATTATTATTTATCATTTAAAATTTTAGAACTATACTAAATAACAATTTAGAACTCATGAGTATTTTTTCTTTTAAAGAAATATATTAAACCTGCTGAAACCGGTTTGGCTCAGTGGTAGAGCGTCGGTCTGCGGACTGAAAGGTCCCGGATTCGATTCCGGTCAAGGGCATGTACATTGGTTGCAGGCACATCCCCGGTAGGAGTTGTGCAAGAGGCAGCTGGTCGATGTTTCTCTCTCATCGACGTTTCTGGCTCTCTATCTCTCTCCCTTCCTCCTCTCTGAAAGTATCAATAAAATATATTTTTTTTAAAAGAAATATATTAAACCTAACAGTCATTAGGGACATCAAAAATCAATAATGTACACATTAAAAAAAAAGACAGATGATATTTTTATCTGAGCATTTTATAAAGGAGATGCAAAAGTTGGCAATCCTTTGAGAAATGCCATTTAAGCTCAAGCTTGTTTTGGCCGTGTCTCTTGCTGGATGCTTTTTTACAGCATTGACGAACTGATGATCAGTGTGTACATACTTTAAAATAGCCATAATCCCAAACATAATCTATACCACAGGCTCCCAAACTAAGCACTGACATGCCATGATGGTGGCACAGGAACCGGAGGAATTTGAAACAGGAGGTCAATAACTGGATTGATTCTCCTTACTGGAAATGAGTAATTATTCTCAAGTTCACCGATTACTAATGCAATCATTTAAGTAACGGCCGTAAGTAAGGATCACAGGCTAAGGGTGTCCTTTTAGGTGATCCCTGCCTTTCAGTTTCCTGCTAAAAACCCAGCTAGTCCAGTTAAGGGGCACACAAGAAAAGGGGTAGTGGGTGGTAACAGCACTCAAACACTGGGGAGAGGGAAAAGGGGATTGGAGAAGAACCAGGAAAACGCGTAAGGACCCATTGACAGCTGTGACAGTGCCCAGGCGCGGCCACCGTATGCAGGAAAGGAAGCTGCCCTATTGGTGGGGCTGAGCTTGAAACAAGTCTTGAAAGGGACTCCCCACCCCCAACCACTTTCCCCAGCCACTCACTCTCCCTGGCCTGACAGTCATGCACAAATATTTTAATAGCAATGCCTTGCATCTGGAGATTAAAGGCCTTATACAAGGGCTGTAAAAAACAAATCAAACAAGCATTGTTTTTGGATGTGGATTAGACGAGGAGCTCAGGAGGGGAGACATGGGCAATCCCTGTGATTAGTCCTGTGATCTTCACGAGCCTCCCTCTCCCCTCTCCCACGTCGCCCTGCACGCCGGCTCATGTTCCCGGGCCTTGCTCCTGCCCAAGCCCCTCCCCCCTCCAGATTCTGGGGGCAGGCACGGGCTCATTGTTCATTTATACTATCTCGAATATTGCTTATCACATTATTTTTACTTCCTAGCATCCCAAGAGAGTGATCACACACAAATAAAAACTGTTTCTGAAATCTATACTGGCATAGCTCAACGGATAGACTCAAATAGATGTACACATCGGTATATTTAGACATAGCTGCACCTGTAGGAGATGAGATACACATGCTTAAGTGTTAGAAACACGTAAAAAATGTCCTCTCTGCTGCACACATAATATCGTTAGCTAAACAATGTGATTCGTTCTAATTAAATAACCACTGTGAAATACCTGATTCACTTTGCACCCGACAGCTGGGTTCCCAGCCGGGACTGAGCATAAGCACAATAGGAAAGGCAGAAGCAGCTGCAAACTCTTGGAAGAAAACATTTGTAAAGCGACTCTGCCTTTAGGCTGCAGGGGAGGAAGGAAGTAAAATCATTTTTCTGTTCCTTTTTATGGATGGCAGCTGTTTTTTTTTTGGGGGGGTGGGGGGCGAAATCACGTCCATTCTATTCTGTAACAGAGACTCCACAGTTTTACTAAAACCCGAGTCGTAGAATGTTAGGCCCGGCCACAGATTTAGCACATTAGCGCAGTCAAAACATTTACAGAACCACGTCAGCGGCTAGATTAGGCTGGAAGGTCCCCTGGTCTTTGCGGTCCTGCTGACTCCTCCCCTGACATTATTTGCTGTAAACACACTGGTGTTTTTGTGATATTGACTGTTTGATCCTTTGAGTGTATTAGGTTTTATTTAAATAAAAATTTAATGGGGTGAAATTCTCTTAGGCGAGTGTTAGAGAAACAGATCCTCTGTGGATGTCAACAGTCCTTTGTCCTGTGTCTTTCTGGTCTTGGTCTCTAGTTTAGTCTTTGGATCTCCCGTACCGAAATGTTAGTTTCTTAGAGGCAGATCTGTTATTTGCCTAGAAAAGCGAAGTTAGTAAGCTCCTGATACATAGTCGATAAATGAAGAGCCACCTGTTTTGTGTTGTTTTTTAAAATCAGTGATATCAGTACTTTATATAAATTCGTTTCTACTTGTTTGCTTATTTTTATTTTTATTTCTAATGGGCTTCTTTTATGAAAACGCAGGGAGGTAAGAATAAGATATTTGCCACAGCATGGCTGCTTTAATGAGCCTGGCGGTGCGTGACATATCTCTTGGGTGGTGGAACCTGTCACACAGCAGAATCTCCCCAGTGGTTAAAGCAGCCTGTCTAAAAACGGGATTTTATTAGAGCTTCAGGATCTAGAAATAGTCCAGGAGCCTTTGGAGGTAAAAAAGTGTCAGACCTAAAAGTCTCTGTGGAAAGTTTGTAAATACGAAACTGGATTGGTGAAATCATAGACAATCTAGAAAAAAAGGAAAGCAGAAATAAAGATAAAGGGAAACAATGAATATAGTGAATACACGAGGAATTCAATAGATGTTAGGTTCCTTCAACCTCCTTCAAATCTTTTGGAATTCTATAGAATAAAATCAATGTTAACTAACTAAAAAAAAAAAAATACAAGCACAACATAATATCAAACATTTTATAAGGTTAACAGGTGATACCTTAGAGTGCTGTTTGTGTGGGACAGGACTGGGCACCCCTCCTTCAGATTCTGAGGCTAAGGACAGAATGAGCGGTCTGTGGTGGTGAGTGAAACACTAGGCTGGGAGAGAGGGGGAGGGATGACACGGTGCACTTAGCTGCGAGGCCATGGGAGGTGGGGATTCTAAGTGTGGGACTATTTCTATAACAGGGTCTACAGGATTTGCTTTGAGCTAGGAAGGCTGTATTTGTAAGTTTTATAACTTTGAAAAATTTCATCATGCCCACTAGTACAAAAAAAATACAAATTAAAATATAGCAATGACCAATATCCAGACTGCAATATAGACAGTGGTGATTTTTTAAAAACGTTTTGTGAAAGATATAGATGGAGGATGTACAAAGGGGCAAGCCATAGGAAAACATCATTATCCTTAATTGGTTTACTAGACATCATTGTCTGAGGAGGATCTTAATTATCCTATCTAATAAAAGAGTAATATGCAAATTGACCGTCACTCCAAGACACAAGATGGCCACTCCTATGTGGTCAAAGATGGCTGCACCCATGTAGACACAAAATGACCTGCTGGGGAGGGCAGTTGTGGGCAGTTAGGGGTGACCAGGCCAGCAGAGGAGGGCAGTTGTGGGTGACCAGAGTGGCAGAGGGGGATCCAGGACTGCAGGGGAGGGCAGTTGTGGGGGGACCAGGCCTGCAGTAGAGGACAGTTAGGGGGGGACCCAGGTCTGCAGGGGAGGGCAGTTGGGAGGTACCCAGGCCTGCAAGGGAGGGCAATTGTGGGCAATCAGGCCAGCAGGGAGGGCAGTTAGGGACAATTGGGCTGTCTGGGGAGCAGTTAGGCATTGATTAGGCTGGCAGGGGAGTGGCTAGGGGGTGATTAGGCTGGCAGGATCGGGCCTAAATGGGATTGGGCCTAAATGGGTGGTTGGACATCCGTCAAAGGGTCCCAGATTGGAGAGGGTGCAGGCTGGGCTCAGGGACACCATCCCCCTGCAAAAATTTTGTGCATTGGGCCTCTAGTATTAGATAATTATGAAAAAAGCATCTTTCTTTAGGAGAAAGAGTCCAACATTTCCATAGATGACATTGTTATTCTGCATTAATTAAGAATCTAATAAGGAACTCTTGTTGAAAGCACTATGTGGTAACTATTAAAGCAGCAAAACAGCAGACACAAGAGCATTTTAATTTCTGCAAGGCAGTATGACTCCTGTACTTAGGAAATACAACTTCTGAAATGTTAACTTTTACTGTATGGAAATACTGTTGCTATCCATTATAGCATTTCTTAAAACACACAGACACAGATTTTTCTCCCTTCAGTATTTAAACTTCTGTGTCTGACCCCGTCCGTCATTTTGCAGAAGTCAGGAGAGTTGAAGTTACAATGGGATTTTGATGACAACTCCCCTCCTAACTGCTGCCAATATTTCTCAATGATGTGAATGTTTCTCCTCAAGGAGACACACGGTGCACACAATAGTGCTCCTTTGATCCTTAGCTTCCCTTCAAAGAGGAAAACATCGCCTGGAAGCACTGTAATTGTTTTGTTTTATTTTCCAATCATGTGATATAAATCATGAATGGAAAAGAAAAAAACCAACCACCACCACCAAACCATTCTGGGCAAAGAAATGAAAAGCAACCGCATTGAAACCGGAAGCTTCAAGAATTTAACAAAAATAGGCCATACACTTCATAAAAAAGTGGACCAGCCTTTATTGTTTTGCTGTCAGTCGGTGTCTCTAGTTTCCACTATGATATCCATTCTAGAATATTTGCAAATACCTTATTGCAAAAACCAAATTAGCTGTATCACACCAGGTCAAGCAGTCGCAGCCCCTCTCAGAAAGCACGTACCTGCATGAAGCGGCCTTCTGAGGTCCCCAGGTTGGCGATGGTGAGCTCCCCTTTAATGAAGGTGGATATGGACGTTAAGAGGACATGGTTGAACTGGCCCATGAATAAGTCGACGCGCTGCAAAGCGGTAGTAAACTCTGTGCGATACTCGTCACTGTGCACTTCACAGCCGGATGAATTTCTCAGAAGGGTCTGGAATAAAATGTGATCACAGAATTAATGTGAGTCCAGATGCGAGTGGGCTATTTAGGAACTTTTCAGTATGTCTTTTCAGAGCTTGGAGGGGAATGGTGAGAACTGTGCAAACAGGCCCAGCTAGGCAGAAATATTTCCAGTGACCTAAATGGCTCCAAGACAGTGAGGCCTGTCATATATGCACATACTCTGACCTGGGGGCAAACTTTCCTATCACAGTTTGTACCGTGGATCATTATGTGCACAAAGATGAAACCTAGCTGGTGTAATTAAAGAAAAACAAAACCGTAAATGTCTCAGTCCTTGACATAAAGGCAATGCTTCTGGCAGGCAAGTCTAATGAGAGGAATTTCGACTGGACTAGTAATAAATGTTGGAGTCATACTTGGACATGATATCTTATTCAAATTTTTTCTTTTAATTCTCACTGGAGGATATGTTTGGTTTTAGAAAGAGGAAGGTGGGGTGAGGAGGAAGGAAGGGAGGAAAGGTGAGAAGGAGAGAGGGAGGAAGGGGGAGCGGGAAGAGGGAGAAAGAGAGAAAGAGAGAAACATTAATTGGTGGCCTCCTGTATGCACTCACCCCACCTGGGGACTGAACCTGCAGCCTTTTTGGTATACAGGACGATGCCCCAGCCAACCTATCATGCATAATGTATAAAGTATAATGTCCCGGAGCCACCCAGCTATGGCGGGACATTATACTTTAAAATGTGTGTCTTTGTGCATCTGTGTGCAGCGAGGTGGTGCAAAGTGGTGGCCGATAGATAATTCATGGAGAGGCACACAGCACAGACCCCAGTGCCTGCATCAAACCTGGTCCCTCATGCCTGTTTACTGTATGTAGTCCCTCCAATCTCTGTGTTTGTGAAACTCGTGTCATCTCTTCTTCCGTTCCCCCACCTCAAAACGGAGAGAATTATAGAAATGTGCCTACCTTAGAGAACTGTCATAAATATTAAATGAGCTAGTTTATAAAAGTCCTTTATAGTAGGACCCAGCATGCAGAAAACACCACTTACATATCGGTCATCTTTCTAGTGAAAGACTCAGAGCATGCAAATGCCGTATGTCAAATGCCTCAGGAACCAGCTTACTAAAAGGCAATCACCACTCAATCAGGTATTTGTCCTTTAGGTTCAACTTCCAACGAAAGGATTTAAAAAAATAGTGTCCAATAATATGTGACAAATAAGAGCTCCCTTCTCTTCAACACTTCAGTCCCCTGGTTTCCCTCCTACTTTTCAGGCTGCAACATTTATGTCTGTCTCCTTTGCAGGAAAATCCATGTCTGGCTGTCAGTGTTAGGGTTTCCAAGGCCCCTTCCCAGGGCTGCCTTTCCACTCACTCCTGCTGCTCTCCCCCAGGCAATCCCAGTCTCTCCTGTGACAGCTATTGCTATGTAGTTGACACCTGTGGACCTCCAGACTACCTCTCTGCTCTGAGCTGACTGTGCGTAATCGCACTGTGAAACTGCACTCAGATAGCTCAGAGACCTAAGCTAAACATGGTGAGTGTGGAAAACAGTCCTCCCCACACCTAATCTTATGATAGGATGCACCCAGTGCTCCACTATTCCTCCAGCTGCAGTCAGACCCTGAAGGGTCATCCCTGATTCTTCCCCGTGTACAGTTCATTACCAATTCCAGTCAATGGTACTTCCTAACTATCTCTGGATCCATCCGGTTTTCTCTATCTCCACCACCTCAACCTTCCTCCAAGCTCTCCCTCCATCCCCCCACCCTCCCTGGACTTCCTAACTGGATCTGTCACGCCAGTCTTACCCAATCTCTTTCCAGTTCCAGTCTCTATATTGCTGGCAGATTTTCTTCTTAAAACATAAGTCTTACCATATAACTCTGTTTAAAACACTTAAAAATGTCTCCTTATTGCTCTTAGGCAAAGGACACGATGTTTGTGACCTCTAGGGCCCTGCCTCATCTGAATCCTACCCAACTTCTCCACACTTAACCTGCAATGTGCTCCCCTTTGCTCTCTGTGCCCCAGGAAGCTGGCCTTCTTTCAGCGCTCCACATGGACCACAGGTCCTCCCATCACAGGGCCTTTGCACACGCGGTTCCCTCTGCCTGAAGCCCTCCTCCCACCTCCATGCACTCTGTTAACTGCTAGACCTCCTTCAGATCCCAGCGGGTCATCATTACTCAGCAGGCCTTCCCTGATCCCAATTTGTAGGTCACATTCTTCTATTTTGGTTACATGATTGAGGTGAGACTTCTCTAGGTGGCTCTCGGGGATTAGGGGCCTGCTTGTTCACCACTGTAATAGCTTATAATAGATGAAATATCACTTACAGTAAATCTTCAGTGAATATTAACTGAATGAACAAGTAACTGAGTCAATGATGGGTAGATGGGGAACGAGCATGGAGACATGAACTAGTACTATTAAAGCTTTTTAAGAGAGTTTATAAGGGATAGAGTGTCTGACTCCTGACTATCCGGACAAGATAGTTTCAAACTGGCAAATTTGAGACAGATAACTAGGGAGCAGGAGGATGTTTTAAGGAAAATGAAGATTAACTTGGAAGAAAAAGAGGGGGAAAAATTCATTCTCTCACATCTTTGTATATTGTTATATAAATCCTGGAAAGTTATTTGAATATTAGAAATCCTCTATTATTATCCCATTATAATTATAATAATAAAAAGTTGTCATTATATCTCAAACCAACTTAGTGTTCAAGAACAAACTGAAATAAAAATTTTTATTATCCTTATATAAAATCACCTTCCTCCTCAAGGTTAAATTTCTGTTACATGGAATGTGAAATTCTTAGATCTACTCTCTTTTACTGTTTAAAAATCACCTACAATGCTATTTTATGTAAGCAACAACTATGTCTTCATTTTAAATAGTGACAAATTAGCCAACAGCATCCCTGAGAGGCTAAACCTGCTGACTCATAATTAATGAAATGTTTTAGCTCTAGACATGCATTTTAATACATTAGTGAATGCTATTTAATTAGAAGCTTTTCTCTACTAAAGTACTATGGATTCCTCTGAGGAGTAGCAGACAACTGAGATGTACCAGCAATTCAATAGTAACCGATTAACTGGTAATTAAGTTTCCAATGGTGATCAATCATCCATTTTGCAGAGACAGCTAGGATTGAGGAAACCTGCTTAAAGGAGCAAATCCCAGTTTTAAACTAAAGGCCATTTCAAATATCCCATTCTAGAGGCGACTATTCTTCGGGGTCAGCTTCTGTGCTTCTTTTATTCTTTCTCTTGCTTGATCTTAATTTTTTCTTTAATTAGGTGGCATCCTGGAAATCTTAAACACTCAAAGACCAGTGCTGGTGGAGTGATGATGGGTTCATTGGGATAGAAAGCAGTTTTCTGTGAATGGAGTAGAGTCTTTGACTGTACACTAGTAAATAGCCTTCTATCAACAAGAGGCCAGAAATTGTCTTATTCATCTTTTATCCCTTCTGTGTTTGGTGCCCAGCACACAGTCTGTACTGATGACAGCTTGCTGAAAAATTAATGTATCTGCAAAGTGACCACATAGCCCATGTGCCCCCCCAGCGTGCTTTGTGGTCTGCCTTTCTGAACAGGTAAGCAGAAAACGGAGGTGAGCTGGCTCTCAGAGTGTCTGAAAACCTGCAGGCACTTGCTAATCACTTTGAAATGAAGGAAGAACACTATGACCAGAACTTCAGCCTCTTGTTTCCGCATGTGGAAGGCATAAAAGTACAACTCTGAGTCAGAGCTGAGGTAACATTTATTTTGTACGCTTCCATGCTTCTCCTTCAGGAAGTAGGAAGGTCTCGAAATGGTACCTCCTCAAGGACCGACAAGATTAAGTTATGTCTCTATTTCTCCCCAAAACACATTCCTAAGTATAGAAACACTGCAAAATGCTGAAATAGGATTTACAGAACTCTTTGATTCTGAAAAATTGTGCAGTTTGGAACAAAACAAAAACTACCATCATGCCAGGTTCAGGTGGCATTCAAATTCCTAAGCCAGAAGAACCTAACTGTTTTTGTTCTTAATTTTCTCTGTAATTGAGATCTGTAGGAGAGGTGTAAGGGTATGAACTTCCAGAAAAATGTACCGTTCCAGGGTTCACTGTAGGAGAGGGAACTACTCCTTGACTCTTTTTACTGAGACTCATGATAAACTCAACTCCTGGGGTCAGAGCCGCTTGCTGTCTTTGAGCCTGAATGGAACTTGAACTCCCGGAGAGCCTTGGTTTTGGCTCTCAGCACTGCAAAGACGATGCACTGTGCAAATAGCACCAAATCTCATCTGATTCACTGAGCCCCTTAGAGATAACGACTGAGTGTGTTTGCTGCTTCTTTGTACGGGAAAGCTGGTGTGACTTCTTCTTGCCACTTCATGCACCGCGAGCTCTTAGCTGTGCTCCTGGAGTGGGGCTGGGTTCAGCTGGAAAAGCCACGACAGACCCGCTGCCCAGGGTCTCCTTGCCACTCACACTTCCCTCAAGGCCAGGGGGTCTTGAGCTTCGGGAGAAAACTGGGAAAGGCCGGTAGAAAGCAGGCCTCTGGTTCAACAGCTGCTCTGGGGTTTCACCGAAACTCCGGTTGGGGAGCCAGACTAACGCTCTCCCCTTCGTAACAAAGGGAGGAAGAAGGAAGGAAGGAAGGGAGGGAGGAAGTCTATCTTTTTCCTGCACCTATGCTGTGCCAGGCACTGAGGCTGGGCATTTTCATGTGCAGCCAGACTCACAGCGCCCTGTGAGCTTTTATCACTCAGTTTTCAGGAGGAGGCTCAGGGCAAACCCAGGGCACAGCCACAGCGCCCAGTTCACAGTGGACCTGGGGTTGGTGTTAGGATTTAGTGCTCTCAGGTTTCCAAACTCATGTGTTTCTTTTGCTACTATGTCCTATTCCCGGCAAAGTCCCGAGAACTGCGTTAAGTACCAAAGTGGAAAGGGCCTTTCGCACCATCTTATGCCAGCCCCTAATTCTATGTATGAGGAACAAAGAGCTAGAATCATTGAACAGAA